GAGAATTTGTAATTTAATGGAATCCAGATATGAATCCCAGCTGTCAAAGGGAGGGAGGACGGACGATCTAGGATAGGTGCTAGGTAGATTACAAGCACCAGCAAAGTCTAGCCTGCGTGGCATGGCTCTCTCTCCCCAATCCCACTCCCTTTTCCCCTTCCTCGCAATCCCCTACCCCTTTCGATGCCTGCTACACAGGCTAAGCAAAGTCAATATATAAATCGACATTTACTCTTTTATTTCTGGGTTCTAGTTTCACTGATGACGCCACTGATTCTCACGGACCACACGCAAAGAAAAAGACTATGCTGTAACATCATCGTAGCTAATCTGTTAATGGGAAAGAAACCGTCCTTAGTTCATCTTCGTCTTCAAAAATCGTGTACTAGAGAGGATTCGTTACTTCATAGCATTCTGTTTCAAGGGCTTGACGCGATTCGAAAAGAACCTCCTTTTCTCCTTACGATCTTCTTAAGAAGACGAAAGGAGGCTCTGCTCGCAGGGTGCGTGTTGGCATTAAAATCAATAGCAAACAATGATAACGACTTAGCATGTTTAGAGGTAGCACATCCATTTAGTGGTTAGTTGTCCATCCGCTGATTACTGGTCAAATTGGAAATATATTGAAAATTTTGGGTTTTGAGGAGAGTTGAAAACCGGAGTACCCGGAGAAAAACCTTTCGGAGCAAAGGAACCTGAACCAACAACAAACTCAACCCACATAATATTATGGCTTTGAACACCGGGATTTGAACCCGGGCCACATTGGTGGGGGTGAGTACTCCCACCACTGTGCCTCCCTTGCTTTTCTCACAAGGATTGGTGACAGGAAATAGGAAGCGGCAGGAACTGCCACCCAACTGAGTGAAACATGAAAATCACCGCACAAAATGTTAAACGACAGGTATAAATAAACAGCAAATACAAAAGAGGGAACGGATAGACAAACTTGAAGATTGTAGCGGATTGAAGTTGTGGTTTTTGAAAATTTGTTATCCTAACAGTTTTTCAAAGTTCATTTTTATTGTTTCGTTTGATATAACGCTTACGAACAAAAAAAAAATTCTCCTGTTTCATAGCAAATAAGGACGCGTAAGTAAAGAAACTAAATAAATCAAAATATAAGTCTTACTCATTATTCAACCAGTAGTGTCATATAGCCAGGACGCTTTAGGAAGAATTATTTCAACTTAACTTATTTAGAAGCATGTAGTTGTCAATTTCTCAAGCACAGTTTCCAACCTATACTTGCGCGATACGAGATACTTAAGGGAGGAAGGCTCAAATGTTGTCATCCGCACAAAAGTGGAAACTTCATTCCTGCTTACAGGTGACTTAGTGGGGAGATTTACAGTGAGTATAAAAGAGGACCAAGGACGGACCCTTGTGGTACAGCAAACTGCAGAATATGACGCCCGGAGGTTGATCCATTTACAAACTACCGGCGAGGTCGCTCAAATACGATTGGAACCATTCCAATGCCGTACCACCAATTTCAAATCGATGAGAGGGGCATGAAAGTAAGCCGATGCCGCAGAAAAATCAAGGAGTAGTGAAATCATTAAGGGAATGGATTAAGGCCGTATCAGTACTGTAAAGTTTTCTGTACGTTGAATGATAAATAACATTGAGATTATTGACATCTAAATAAGATCAGTAGGAGGTATTCCAGATTCCAACGAAAGGTTAACATTATTACTGAACTAACAGTAGTAAAGCAATCATTCTTGATACAACTAGGAATAGGGTCTAAATCACAAAACTTAAAATACATAGGTCCAACAAATGCTATTAGCTCAGTCGACGAGACACTTGCAAAGATAGTAAATTGACATTCAGCAGCAACGTTTTTGAACTCAAGAACAATTTAAGGTGTTGGTCTCTCAAGATCTTCTCGAATTCTCATGATTTTGTTCCCGCAATGAAATGAATTCGATCCTGCGCTAACGATGATCATGAGGTGCTGTAATCTTGCGGAAACTTGGTTTTAGGGCGCCGAGGAAGTAATTTCAAAATAGTTGAAAACAGTTTCATCAAATCATATTGGTTTTCAGCGAATATTCAAGAATAATAATTCGATAATTCGATCTAAAATGACTATAACACATTAGTTAAAGCTTGACACTGTCCAACATTTTATATCGGCTTACGCATAAGGGTAAAAAGATGAAAACGTAAACACAAATTTCATTGATCACTTCGGCATATATAACCAAATTCTATTACCCATGGTACTCCTTTGGTCCGCTAAAGATAGAACAATTCTGCGGCTCTTAGCAATTGGCTGAAGGCGGAGGTAAACGACACAGAAAGATTGCGACAAAAATCATTTCTCGCTCCGCAATTGGTACTTTATTTTATTAATAGTAACAAAGAGGACCCCTATATCCCTGACACACAGTTACCGTAAACTGCGGTGTAAAATTCCACCGAAATAAAGTTTTGATGAATGTATAGTATGGTTTTGTTGCTGAGTACTGTTGGTCAGCTTACGCGGAAA